GCCTCTCAATCTGTGCAGATGCCTTTAACTTTTGCTTGTTGAGCGGCCTTTTAGGAGAGGACATCTAACGAAACAAACGCTGTTTACACTAAAAGTCATCAGAGCTCTCTTTAGTTCTGTCGTATACGTTAACACTTTCAAACTGTTTTGAAAATATATGGTCAGTCTGCTAGATTAAAGATGTGAGGTGTTTTTAAAAAATATGTAATTAAGAGATAAAACAAAAAAATTCAGAAACTCTGAATGACTTCTAGGAGCAGTTCCTATGAGCAAGCCGATCCCATTTCACTTTGTGAAGGAATAGTCATGATAGCTAACTGCTGCTGAGCACCTGTGGTGTCCGGGCACATTTATATTACCTGTCTCATTTAAGCCTCAAATGTTGCCACGAAGTACATTTCTCTCACTAGGTGTCATGTACAAATACACCATTGACCTCCCTGTGTCACCTGGAGCCAAAGCTCATACCCAAACCATGGCTTTGCCCTAAGATCCTGTTCCTTTTCTCTACATTAAAAATAAAAATTAAAAACCTATATTTTATTAAAATATTCCCACAGACTCTCTTCTCTTTTACCTCCAAAATATTGAATAACACAGCAACAAAGTCATGGAACAAAATGTAACATGGCAAACAATCTCTAAGACATTTGCTAGGTCTTCCTGATGGTTTTGAATTTTTCATTTGAGTGATTTTATAAATATCTTAGAATTTGGAGAAAATCCATTCAACTCTTCAAGTGTGTCTGAGACCTAGGGATCTCATTATGCCCAGAGCCAGCATGTGTAATTTGTAATCAGAAGATGCTTGAGTTCCATCATTAGCATCACCTGCCCGTGTGGCCTGGGACAAAACCACCAGGTGATTTTCTTCCGAGTTTAATCTGAATGTCTTGCCTCCAGTAATAGCCCTGAAGTACAGTGTCTCAAGTATAAAGACCAGAGTTCAGATTTTGTTTCATGCCTTAAGTTTTATTCTAAGGCTGAGAAGATTATCTATTCATTTTCTTATTACATGGAGAATTTCTAGAATTTGTAGCAGTTTAATAGTCCTTATAAATGTCACGAAGACAATGCTTAAAAACTATACCTAGTTTATTTCCTTCCCCCAACTTAAAGTCTTGTTACCCATGGTCACCCAATACCTACCTGCCATAGTAGGCTTTTAATTAACATTTTCAAGCTTGGAAGATGGAGGAGATTCTGGCTGTTTCAAAATTGTGATTCCTTCATTAAGGGAGACATTTGGAGAGTCCGTTTCCCATGTCAAAGTAGGTATGGTTTTTAAATGAGCATGTTGCTCTAACTTTGACAAACAAATAGGATCATTCATCATCATGGTGTACATGTGCTGTTATGGACTACATAATGTTTGGTTAAAGTTTTACTCGCAAGTGGTGTGTGTGTGTGTGTGTGTATTTTCATATCTCTCTAAAGATATACTATGGTATATCTATATAACCCTTTCTCCTCATGTATGCATATGGATAGTTATGAAATTAAATACCTAGCTGAGTGTGGTGGCTCACGCCTGTAATCCCAGCACTTTGGGAGGCCTAATCGGAGGGCAGATAATCTGATGTCAGGAGTTCGAGACTAGCCTGGTCAACTTGCTGACACCTCTTCTCTACTAAAAATACACAAATTACCCATGCATGGTGGCACAAGCCTGTAGTCCCAGCTACTCTGGAGGCTGAGGCAGGAGAATTGCTTGAACCCAGGAAACGGAGGTTGCAGTGAGCCGAGATTGTGCCACTGCACTTCAGCCTGAGCGGCACAGCAAGATGCCTTCTAAATAAATCAATAAATAGACAAATAAAATACCTGACTGTAGTTCTAAATAAAATAAAATGCAGCTTTCAGTTCTGTGTTGATTTAATGCTTTGAGTAGCAGAAACATATTTCTAAATTTCATCATACCAAGAAAGAATGGAAATCATGCTTCTGATTCATCAATGTTTTTAATGCTGTTCAGGTATCAAATACCATATGCTAGTTCAGGTATTTGGCACGTGGGTCTGGCATCCAATTGCTTAACCCATTTACTTTTTTTCTGCTGGAAAAAAATGATAAAATTACTCATTCATATAAAACCTCCTTTCACCTCATTCCATGCCTCCATCCATCCCTTTTTCCCTCCCTCCCTCCCTCCCTCACCCTCTTCTTTCCTATCATTCGTGTTTCTGCTATCTGCCTATTTTCTTTTGTTTTATTGACTATAGGTTCTAGTACTTAAAGGTACCAATTTATTGGTAAGAAAACAAATTACTTTTTGTAATGATACCATTTAAAAGAACAATTTTCACTTACTATCTTGTGAGAGAGGGGAACAATACTATCTTTTTAATGCAAGAAAAGTCAATATAATGTATCACCAAATGTAATTGCAATAAAGAATGACATTGAACTCTATTTATGTATGTTATTTGCCATTTAGCTTAGCAGTACCAACATATTCCAGAAACTGAAATTTCTTTACTGCAGATAAAAAGACAATAATAAACACAGGGAAATCTATTCCATACATTTATGAAACAAATGTTGTTTCCTTGATTTTCAACTTGCTTGTAGAAATAATTATTTTAATATTGTAGTTCATTATCCAGTATATGGTAGACATCCTCTACAGGAAAAACTAAACAAGATGACAATTACAAAGAGGCAGGGGCTGAACTTATTCGTTCAAAATGAACAAGTGCACAACCTTAAGCATGCTCAAGTGTGTGCCAGGAAAGCTACTACAAATGATCAACGGATGTAGCGACATTTGCATCATCGATTGTTTCTGAGCTTGGGAAAGGAGTCGTTGCCTATTTGGATCCTCTGGCTGACCCCAGAAGAAGTTGCCTTGCTTCAACATGTCCAGTGGAAATATTGTGAGAAAGAGGTTACACACTTACAATAATAAATACTAGGCACTGAGATCATTCTCCTGTAATAAGAACAGATGACCATGACAAGAAAAAGATTCCACAGAATTAGAGACTATTCCAGTGCTGGCTGCCTTGATGGGGAGAAAGGACTCATTCCCCTTCTTCTTTCCACCATTCCTTCCTCACCAAAATTACTGACTTATAATGAAGACTGCAGTGTTTCTCCCAACTTTCAAAACTGTGTTTTGGGGGGTGTACCTCCTATGTAAAGTAATAGTGGTTTCAGTTTCCTACCTTTTGGCCGGCATTACCTCCAAACAAATGCTAAAACATGGGTAAGTGGAGCCTTCTGAACCCCTTGTATTTGAGAACAGCTTTAGTCAGTTCCAAATATATTGAGAAAATGAAAACCTGTCTTTGAAGAAATACTGTTTTTAATCATTTTGCTGAGTGTTCAGAAAGAAAAATTTATTTTCATGCCAATAAAAGTGGGTGGAGCTTGCATTTGTATTGTCATCTTCCTGCAAGAACGAAAATGCCTATGGCATGGGCAGAAGCAGCACAAGGAATGCTGAAGGAGTGGTGGGACGGTGTGTGGAGTGGCCTTACCACAGCAGGGGTAGACACAGGTCAGAACAGACTCCTAGCTGTTCACTTAGAGGTCATCTGAATAAGATCACCCTGTGAGCTCTTCCTCAGGAATCACTTGCAGCTTCAATTCCTCTGCTTCTCGTCCCCCAGCGCCACTGAAGTCTGTATTCCACCACCGGTTAGGGATATCAAAGGGCTCATTTCGACAAGTGTTTCACAGTCAACAATTCAATACAATTAATGTGTCTCCCCCTAGCCATTCACTTCCCCAGCTTGTGTCCCCAGAAAAGCACCATGTTTCCATAAATTAAAATATAATGCCTATGTGTATGTGTCAGTGTGCACCTGAATGTATTTGCATTTACAGAAAAAAAAAAAAAAAACAAATTTTAGGAAAGGAACAAAAACGGGAGAATTTTGCATTTTTGGTGTTTTTTGTATTTGCGCAGACCATTTTAGGATTTTCAGTCTCAACAAAACACTATTAAAACAAAGGATCTAGTAAAATATTGTGCATGTACTGCTAAACAATTCTAGCAATTTTATTAAGCAATACCTTTATTATTTTTGAATATTCTTAACAGACTGGAACAAAACATTTTTTTTCAAAACAAAATATGCATACTGTACGCATGTTGCAGGGTTAAGTATGATGCAGAGGTTAAAGTCTGTTTGAACAAAAACAAATGCCCGGGGAAATTTCATAGCTATAAAGTTAATAACTAAATTTTGTTCGCTAAGAGGACCTTTTCTATGGATTTCCTTCATCTCTCAATCACACTGCAAACTTATCTGAAGTGCACTTCCCAAGTGTAGTTAGAGAATAGGAAGGAATGTAAGATTTTTTTTTAAATTATTTGTTTTGTTTGTTTGTTTTTTTAAAAACAGCCCTTAGTAACTCTTCCTTCCACTGATTCTACTGTAAACTCATAAAAGCCTTTTACAGAAAGCAAATTCATATACACTCAGCAGGTGAAATGTTCCCACAAAGAAAAAATAAAATACAGAGCGATCAGACCTTTTTTCCTCAACTACCTAGAGCATGTTAGAGTGATAAAGTTTTTGCACATTAATAAAAATGCCTGACCTATTTTTTTTTTTTAAAGAAGTTGTTCCTCTGTGATAATGCAGAATTGCATACACTGTATACCTGGAATAATTTTAAACCATATGTTAGGGAAATACTGGAATAAAATTGTATATATTCTGTATATTGCAGGTGTTTGAGCATTTCTAGTGTCTCTTCCACAACAGTAAGGGAGGAAAAGAATTCCAGATATGTGTCTGCAATCCCTTTGTTCCCTGTAATTACAATGGCCAAAATGTGCTCCAATATTACCGCAACAGAACTAAAATCACAATGAAAGCCCACCTCCATTGTCAATGGAAACACTTCCTCACTCCCCACATCCTGATTCTAGATGGCTGCTCCTGTCCAACTGGACCAGCAAGAAAGGGCTGGGCCACTTGGGGATGGGAACTGGAGCAACACAGTTCATGACAGTGTTTTTTTTTTTTTTTTTTCCTTTTATTTTGTTTTCAACATAAAAATGTTAACTGTCTGATTCCATCTATTATGGAGAGCACTTGTTTGTTCAGCTAAAAAGGAACTCCCGCCAGGCCCCCTTGGCTCCGCTCTGTTTTGGGTTTGTGCAACAGGGGCTCAGAGGCCCACCAAACATGCACACCCATTCACTGTGGTTACACAGACAGAAGCAAGCGGATGTTGTCTGCTTAGGGGACAAGAAGAAGGCGAGGAAAAGGAAAGGCCGGAAAGGGTATTGGTTCTGCGGGTAGAAGGGAGACTTAGGGATTTTTTTTATTTTTATTTTTTGTTGTTTTCTTTTTTTTGTCTTTTTTATTTTTTATTCTTTTTTTTGTTGTTGTTTTTTTGCTATACCATGAGGTCATAGCAATCATTCCTCTAATAGAAACTGACAGGACATAAAGACAGAACTATCTGATGAACACACACAATGACTAGAAATATATAGAGATAGAGACAGTGAAAAGACTTAGTTTACCTCTGAGAAACCATCCCCCAAAATAAATCCTGTATTAACAAGTGCAAAAAATAAACAGACAAATAAACTCAAACCAAAAAGAAAGCAAATAAAACCTCCAAACATTAAAACACAGTGTATAAAATGGTGTGAGAAATTTAAAGTCACTTTCCAGCCTTTTAGTTAATAAAAAGCTGTGGTTGTGTCCTTGTTTGGATTCAGGCCCATCTGTTTAGATTTTACCCTAAAGGCCTTGCGATAAGTAATTCGAGGGTAAAAGCACCCAGTTTCTGTTACATGAGACAGCAGTTGCATTTTTCACGGCGGGCCAGCTGCTGCTGTGGTGACACTCATCCTTCATTACTCCTCATTGGTTGAGTTTTCTTCCAGCGTGTTGATGCCTCCAAAGCTCAGTCCGGCTGTACTCTGTGCTGCCGAGGCTGTGAGCACTGTGTGTAAGAGAATCAGTACAAGAACACACAGCTTGAGTCTGCTGTTGCACAGTCTTGTTGCTGATGACACTGTGAGCGATGTCCTGTGACAGGAGTCACTTTTATCTATGGTCCCTTTGGATGGGTTATTTGATTTTTCTTCTCTCCTGACGTCACAGCATTCTGGTTCATCATTGGTTAGAAAGGTTTCATAAAGCCCTGTAGGAAGAAGGAAGTAGAGTGTCAGCAGGGAGGAAATACATTCGCGACACAGTAGAGTGAAGCTGTTACTTTACCATTCTACCCCACAAACTCTTACAGGCAATCAGACATGTTTTAGAGGAAAGTCAAGTCAATATAATTGGATAAAGAGTCACCCATGGTCCCAAACCAGTATTGTTAGGTTCTTCAAGTTGTTCTTTTATATTCCTGCAGTCATACCATGAAAGTTCTGGGTTGTTGTGACTACAGAACAAAAGATTTCATTAAGTCAAAATCAGAACTTGAGGTTCTGGATCAACTTGGACATCAAGTACATGCAACCATCCTTTTTTCTTTCACAGGAATGTGACCAATTAATGCAGAGCATAAACTGACATTGGCTAGTTATGCTAAGTGAAATAAGCAACGAATCATAACATCATAGCTCCAGGAACATGTTATCAATCGTTTCCTCTCAGAAGCCTCATCACGTCTTCTCTCCCGAGTCTGGCAGAATGGGCAAAACCATCTATGTGTCCAGTGGGCGATCGGGTCATTTTGATTTGTTTTCTAAACATTTCTCTTATTTTTCTCAATTTTCTCCATTTGCTTTCTGTAGATGTCTATGTGAATCGAGGCTTTATTATCTTTTGCTTGGACCATCACAGGAGGAGTCTCTCTGCTGTTCATCGTCTCATTTGATCTATCCTCCAACTGTGTCTATCAGGAATTGTCTGTCTCTCTGCTTCTCTTGTTCTCTCTTCTCCTTTTTCCTCCTTGCTGAAACTCTTCCTTTCCTTTTTCTCTTCTTCCTCTGATAACACACATTGCTCTTATTTTAAAATTGACAAATGCATATTTTAAAACTTGGGAAGTGTTGAAAAGAACAAAACAACTGTGCATCTCTAATCTTTCCAGTCTTTTACCTTGCTGTATTATGTATAATATTTTTATGTAAGCTGTATAAGTCATTGTGTATTTCTTTTCTACTTGACTGAAACATTTATTTGTGGGTGTTAGAATGATTTTTTTACACATAAATTTTGTCATATTAATGTCATGCTTGAAAAACTTAAAAATGGGGATAATAATAGAGTAGTTGTAAGGATTACATGAGGTTTTTCATGTAATATGCTTAGTTCAGTGCCTAGCACATAGATATAACATAAAAATTTGGGCTACTGTAAATAACAATACTTATCAACGGTATATCATTGCTTCAACCTTCACAATAAAATCTAGAGGTCTTTTCTCTATCTCCAGGCTCACTGCTCAATGTTCCAGCAATCCTGAAGCATTGGCTCTTCCCCGAGCATCTTAGCCTGTATCACTAGCCAAGATGCTGTTTCCCCCCTAAACTTTCCTCCATCAATTCCTCTACATACTTCTCATTTATCCTTCAAATGTGGTTCAGATGAAACTCCCTCTGTGAGGCTTGTGCTCACACCCCTGGGCTATGCATTTTGCTTAACTCTTTATTATACCAATCACTCTTATTTTTCTTTTAATCACAATTGCTAATTTTAATTTCAATTTTCTTACTTGTCAATTTTAAAACATAAACTATACATTCTCAGTTTTGCATTCCCATTATGTGGCAGAATGCCTGAACAAAATACTTAAGGAGCATTTATTACATGAATAAACTCAGTACCTATTTCTGTAATCAAAAAGAATCTCAAATAATATACACTTCAATCTTCAGTATCTTTTAAAGAAATGAACAAGATATCCTTATAATGATGCTTACAATATTCATTTCTTCTTAGGCATTCAAAGGTAAACTTCACCTTCGCCTAGGTAGAATATAAAAAAAAAAACTGAATTAATGAGGTCTTCAGCTCTGACATTTTTATTGTATGATATTTTCTTTTTTCATATAAGATATCTCACTGGTAGACTAATCACTTATTGAAATATACGTTTCCAATACTACATTCTATAACAAAAGAAATTTACAGTAAGGTTATAAAAATAGAAATCTAGAAGTCCCTTAGATCAACATTTTAGAATGCTAATAATCAGAATATATTTAACAATCTTATGTAAATTAGAAGCTCTTCCAAAGTTGCTCAGAGACTGGCTTGCTGATTTACAACTAAAGTTATTGCAGAAAAAAAAAAAAAGTTCTTTCAGGCCAGTAAATGAACCCTTCTTTTTGTCTGGCACAATTAATATTCTTTCTTTTTTCTCTCCTGTCCATCTTTTTAAAAAGTTTTTATTCAAACTTATGAATAACATGCATCTACATTAAGATACAATAATTCCACAGAGTATTTTACAAAATAACAAAAAAATCCTCCACCTCCCACCTCTCAAATTCTTCTTTCTCAAAGGCAAATATTTGCATATCTTTTAGCTGTTTTTGTATTTAGCTGCATTTTTGAGGATAATATGTCTTATGCTCTTCTTGATTTTATTTTTTAGTATTATCTGTAGATTCCTCTCAAGAAATGTAGGGATAAAACATTTACTCTCCTCCTCCTTCCAGTACATATGCTTCCCACCGAACGCTCACCCATTCCTGTAAATAGTAACTTTGATACCTGCTGTTCCCTTTACAGTATTAGGATGACATAAAACTAATTCTTAGTTCAATCATGTAGTAAAGTCCAATTTTCTATCCCTATACCACTTTGCTTTTTTCTACAGATAATACTTGTCTTGTTATTTTCCCTATTCTAATGAATTCAACCCAAATGCATTCCCAGTGCTTGCAGTTGCATCAGGTTTTCTATCAGTTCTTTTCTGAAGAAATATCTCCTGGCACCTCCCACCATCTGGACTGGTTTCCTTCATGCCTAGTGCATCTCTACTGCTCTGTCCACTCCAGCGCTGGATCTCCTGTTCCCTATATCCTGTGCCTCATCCCCTTCTTTCTCCTTTTGGGAGTTTACAGCATCTAGTGTCTTCAGTAGGAAAAGCTCATGAAGGTAAATTTCCAAGATGCCATATCCCTAAAAATGTTTTTATTCTACTTCATATTTAATAGATTGTTTGGCTGGGTATAAAATTCTAATTTCAAAATGATCATTCTTCAGATTTACTCAAGCATTGCTCCTATAGGTCCTGGTCCTTTAATTTTCTTATCTCTGCTGTTAATATTTCATATTACTTCATCCCTTAACTCTGCTTTTGGGAGAATTTGGCGAGTTTTCATGTGACATAATTTCACTGAATTTTGCTTTTTTTTTTTTTTCCCTAAGATTAAGTTCCAAGAACTCCGTATTGTTATCTAAATGTTGCTTTTTGAAGTAACTGTTCTTATTTTATTATTACAATGTATATGTTTTTCTCACTCTGAGATATTTGGGGTATCCTTATTTATTGTGTTTCATTCCCTTCCTGAATAAATTCCCTCCATTTTCTCTGTGTTGCTTTTTCCCCCTTTGTGTTTGTTTGTCCCTTGTTCTTCTCATGGAGACACCATGAATTCTTAGTTGTCTGTGCAAAATAAAAAGTACAGGAAGTCTGGGCACCTAAGGAGGGCTGTGGCCTGTGAGCTGTACTGTGGGATGACATGCCTAAACTGTTAAGATGGAGAAACTTTTAAAATTCTCTCTTTATGTTGATTGGACTCCCAAGAAAAGTCTACCCAATATCCATCCAAGAGGCAGAAGATCAGGAAGCAGGAGGGAGTAGCAGAATAGGGGTGGGGAAGTCTCAGGTTCAGTGTGGAGGTGTGCATTGAATCCTGGTGGTCTGAGTGTGTCCTCCACCCTGAACTCCTCTTCCACTTTGAACTCCTCCTGTTGTTACTAAAACCAACAATCTTTCCTTTATCATCTTAAAAACAAAAAGTTCCCTCCAGAAAGAAATATGCCCCTAGTCTCTGGGTTGGGAGTAGGGAATGGGATTTGGGGATCTGACTGTCTCTTAAACTGACTTCCACCCAGCCTTCCTTATTTTGCCCTTTCTTCCATTGCATCCCACGTTGTCAATCTCTGAGTCTGGATAGCGCATTGGATGTAAATTGTGCTGACTCAGTTTCCTCTCTGCTGCTTCATATTGCTTTTTCTAGGTCTCAGCAAATCTGTTAGCATGCATCAACTTTCTTTCTAACTTCTAAGAGGTTTTGATTATTGTCACTTTACCTATTCTTTGATCCTTTCAGATTTATGCCATAAAACAATGTCTTTTTGGTTGGAACTGCCTAAAAATTTTTCCAGCTCTTTTTTCTACATTATTCTTCTCTGCCTTGAATTCTGACAGATACCTTTTTCTCTGACAAATGTGTTTCTGAATAAGCAAGGACATGCAGCCTTCTAAGGCCATTATTTCTTTGTCTTATATAGAGACAGTGGTGCAAATCAATGACACCCTTGGGACCTGGGGGCACAGACTCCTCCATCTGGGAGCACTGCCTACAGATGGATTCGCCCTGCATGCCTCCCAGACACTGTCCTTTGTTGAAACCAGCAGCCTTGACCAGTCTCTCAGGTCCTGGGCAGCCTCCAAACAATGTAGGAATCCCAAGGCTGGGCCCACTTGACTCAAGTCAAGGCATCTCTCAAGGACCATCCCAGCTTCATATTTTTTTCCCTCTACCAAATTTCTCTTTCTTCACCCCCCTTAGGTAGCATGCCTGAGAGTTATTCCCTCAAAACCACCTGCATACCAATAACCTGCTGGGGAAAATTTCCTAGGAAAGCCTACCTACAGAAATAATGTTTTCCTCACCATTGAAGAAACTATAAAACACATTTCCAAATAAAAATAATTTCTCAAACAAGAATCTCATTGCATAAACATGCACAATTACACAAATTAGCATTAGGAAAGAACAAAAGCAAATTTTCCAGGTAGTGAAATACTGTTCTGATATATTTTGCTTATAAGCTGTTCTATTTGAAATCTCTAATGAATCACTACCTGCTGTTTGAAATTACAGTATCAAACTCACAGAATTTTCTTTCTTTTTTTTTTTTGAGAATTAAATAATACACATAAACTGTTTAGACCAGTGCTTGGCAAGTATGAAAATCTCACATAACATTGATTACTGATGTTGTAAGTTG